GCTGCTTCCAGGAGCTGGAGGAGAGCAGATAGAGAGACTGACTTAGTCCTGCTGTGCTGCCGACCGGACTTGTAACAGCCAGCTCAGCAGTGCTGACCGGAGCTACCAGGGTTCCTTTTGTGGCCTGGTATTCTGGTTGAAAAACAGGCGCAGAGAATGGCAGGCTGTGAATGTGCTGTGCTTTTATCCCCCCTCTCAGGGCTGCTTCCAGGAGCTGGAGGAGAGCAGATAGAGAGACTGACTTAGTCCTGCTGTGCTGCCGACCGGACTTGTAACAGCCAGCTCAGCAGTGCTGACCGGAGCTACCAGGGTTCCTTTTGTGGCCTGGTATTCTGGTTGAAAAACAGGCGCAGAGAATGGCAGGCTGTGAATGTGCTGTGCTTTTATCCCCCCTCTCAGGTTTGAACACTGGTTGCTTCTACGCTCTGTCCACTCTGCGGAACCGCATGGTGATCCAGCACTATCCAGTAAGTGCCTTTGATGTGCTCTCCTGCAGCATTGCTGTCAAAAGAAAGCTCTTAACCCATGTTCCACGGGTCACTTGTGGTCCAGTAAGAGCTGTAGCGTGACATCCCAGCTATATGGCACAGGATGAGAATCACTGGCAGAAAGCATGATGCAACAGCACCTGCTCCTGGGTGAGACTGGCACTGGAGCTACTGTGAGCTTCCTTTGCCACCAGCCAGTGCTCTTATCCCTGTTCTTTACAGCTCTTTTCCACTGAAGCAAAGTAGACTAGTGAGCCCTGCCCCTGCACCATAATAAGCTGTGCTTTTGTGAACTTACCCAGACCATTTTTGTGTTCCATTCCCTACAGCAGTGGTTCTTACTTTTTTTCTTTCTGAACACCCTCCCAACATGCTGTTAAATCTCTGGGAGAGGGCCTTGGGACTTCAGCTACTGGGCCAATGGTGGAACTTCTGCCTGGTGGGATGTAATTCTCAGGACTCAGGCTGCTGGGCAGGCCTTGGGCACTTGCATAGTTTGACTTCCGTTTTGAGGGCTTGGGCGAACTCTGTATGGTGGGGACCAGGGAGGGTGTGCCACCTTCAACCCCTGATTCATATCAGCAGGCCACTCCATGTTGCAGGGAGGTGCAACCAAAAATTATAAATCTAAGGGGATTCAGCTCAAAAAGTTTGAATACTGTTCAGGGTGCAGGGAGGGGATAGCTAGGAGCTGAGTGCAGAAAGGGGTCATAGCTCAGGGTGCAGGCAGAATGTTAGCTAGAGGCTGTGTGCTGGGAGGCCCACCTCTTCCTGAGGAGGGTTCTCCCCATCCATCTCCATGGTTGCTGCTTCCTCAAGGCCTTGCCAGCTCTGGAGCCAGGTCTCCACCAGGGACAGTTTTGCAGCTTCTTAAGCAGTCAAAAGTGGCTGGGAGCTGAGGAGCAGCTGCAGCCTTGGGAACCAGCAGGAGAAGGAGAAACATCAAGGCCCACTGCTTCATGGCACAAGCCATTGCAGCAGCTACCCTGAATTGCTTGGCTCCAGCTTCCTGCCTCCAAGCTAGCCAAGAGGCGTCAGGGAGAGGAGAGGATGGGAGTGTGGAGCCGTTTCCAGGGCTTGCCCAGTCTGGCTAGAGCAGTGTAGTTTTGGGGGGAGGCAAAGCCCCTTTTACTCCCAAAACTGTGCCCATAGATTCTGGACTTCTGCCCTGTGGGGAACCAGGGCTGGTGGAATCCCCCACATTTATTGCTCCTGCACCATTCAGTACATTGGCTTCTCGTGGTGGAATGGGGAGCTCTTCATAGCTAGAGCTTCTGTAGCTGGGAAAGGCTAGGACTGGGATACCTGGGAGCATTTTTCCCCTGGGGTTGGCTCCCCACACTGTTAAGTAGTTAGCCTACGTGCCTGGTAAATCTTGAGCCTTGTGTCTCTTGACCAAGCCGACCCAAAGACCAGTAGACAGGAAGATTTGAAAGGCCATCAGTATCTCCTCCTCTGAGGCCCTTTTAGCCATCTAGCCCCACTTGCTGTTGGCCATTAACTAGTTCCTGTATTGATGTGTGTCTTACCACAGGGGGAGGAGGTGAATGCTGGAAGAATTGGACTCACCATTATAGTATCTGGCATGGCTGGAGCTCTGCTTTCTGGCATCTGGTTGGATAAAACCAAAACCTACAAGTAAGACCCTAGCACTCTTTTCCCCACAACTTCATTCTAGTCTCTACCACATGGAAGGCAAACCCTGGGGGAGGCAGCTTTGCCTTCCAATGGCTTAACAAGGTGGGTGAAGTAATATCTTTTATTTGACTAGAGAGGAGCTTCTAGGCTTGTACAGAACTCTTCCTCAGGTCTGAGCGGGGGGGCAGGGGGAGTGTGTTCCCCAGATCCAATGGCCCTGCAGTAAAAGCAGGAATTTGGAGCAGTATGTTAGCTCATTTGGGGAGTCTTCTGAGGCTAGGATAAACCCACCATGCTTTTTGGCTTTGGAGCTACTCATACCTTCCTTGATATACAAGGTAGTAGAGTGACTTCTCCAGGATTCCTGTGTGACTCTATTTTATTTTTGATGCCTTGATTTAAGGATTAATGGGCTTAGGTCTGGCCTGTCATGAGGGTAGAAGTTATTTATGTGTCAGAAACAAACACCCCTCCCATCGGGTAAGAATGTATTACAGAGCTGTCTTCTCAAGGTCTGTAGAGGGGAAGCTAAAAAGAACTGCTTTTGGGATTTGAAGCAGGGCCGGAGGGGCCTACATAGGCAGGGAAGGCTAAGGGGTATGAATTGTTGATGTGCGGGGAATATCTATGGGGAAGGGTAGATGGGAAAGCAGAGGCCTGGAACCTCCTCCCTTTAGGAGGATAGGGGTTTGTTGAGGGTGCATTTCTCTTAGGGGAACAGAGTGAGGCAGAGTTCAAGTTTGACTTCTCTCTGCCTTGTCTTATGTCCAGAAGCAGAGAGAGAGCAATGCAGTGTAGTGTTCTGCCCCTTCATGGCTCTGGTCAGGTTCCCAGCACCCTGGGAAGGAAGAGGGCAGAAACAGCCCAGAGCTGCTTTGCCAAGGCTGAGATAGTCCCCAGCATTGGAAGAATCGTACAGTGCCAGACCTGTTCTCTGCCTCACAAACCACCATCTGAGAGTCTCTGTTCTTAGTGAAAGACCCATTGAGTCCTATGCCCAGAGACACTTTGCTTGTGTTTGTGTGCGTGTGTGTATGTGTTCCTTTATTTAGGGAAGAAGCAGATGGAGTGATATGTGTGTGGGGGAAGGCAAGGATTTGGTACCTACAGGGACTCTTAGCTGTACATTCACAGATGGCCGTTGGCACCATGCTGTCTTTGTGTTGCCTGCAGCTTTAGTCAGAGCAATTTGAGGGCCAGACCTTATTCAGTGGGCAGGGGGTAGATTTGCCATTAAATAAATAGTGCTGTGGCACAAAACCTCCCAGTGACAAGGGTCTCCCACACTGGATCAGCAAAGCAAACAAATGACTCATTTTCCAGCTTTGTGCTGTATGTTTGTGTTGTATGTATGTTTCCTCTTGTGGTAATGCCAACAAGGTATTTAGCCAGCACATGAAGGCAAGGGACAAGTCAATAATGAAGTTGAATGGCCCATTAAGGAAAGCCTGCCCTGTCTATATACTTGACAAATCATTGGTCCTTTTGTTAGAATGCTTGCGTTGGCATAAATCCATAGTCCAGAGGCTGCAGCAGGAAAGAGGCAAAATGAAGATGTTCCCAGGGCCTTTTATGCCTTCTGCCATGTGGAGGGAATCCCATTGTTCTTACTGTGGAAAATTACAGTTCCCAAGATGGTGCCCAGGCACATGAGCCATCACAAGAGCAATTCACCTGTCTATGCATGACCATAGGCATGTGCAGCACATTTCATTAGGGTGTGCACCCAAAGAATTTTAAAATGTACTCTTTGACCCCCATTAGCCACACCCTCTGACTCCCATTAACCACGCCTCTGGAGGCAACATTCTCAGGGCAAGATGGACACATGACCAGAAGTAAAAGGTGTCATGTGACCACCCCCCTAAGGACTGTTTACCACCATCCTCCTACCAATAGGGATTAGTTTGGCCCCCACCAACCCCCCCTCGTGCAACTATCCTGCAATGGCATTAACCCAATGTGTGTGACATTAACTCGGGGTCGGAGGCTTAGAGGGGGAAGTGTTCCCTCTAAGAATTTCCTCCCATGAGTAGATTTTCTGTTGTGCACCAGTACTGAGTTCATGTGGCTTGTTTGGATGTGCCACTGGCACCCAAGTTAATAAATATCTTATAAACCTCTACCTTTTCCCCTCTGCTGCCATGTCTCCTCCCCTTGCTCCATCAGCTCCCCTGGTGCCTGCTGCCCCCCAACCTCTCACCCTCCTTTGCTGTCTTGACTCCTGCCCTTCTCACTGCCCTCAGCCGTTCTGCGACCTGCCCCCCTCCACCAGCCCTTCTCTCCCCCCTGTGCCCATTTCTCCAGTAGCCTCACTCTGATCATGTGAGCTACCGCTCCTCATCCCCGCTCCTAACACCTCCCTCTACACACCTGCCTTGCCTCTCTCCTCTGGTGCTGGTCCCTCCCCTGCAGGTGTCTGCCCTTCTGCTTCACCCCTAGAATCCCCTGCACCTTCCCTTACCCCGGCACCCTCCTGGTGCCCCACTTCCCTCACTGCCCCTGCCACCTTTTTCCCTGATGCCCACCCCCTCACTACTCTCTGCCCCTGTGCCCTCACACATGACTTGCTCCATCCTCACCTTCCTCACACCGACCCCTTCTTTCAAGCCTTCTCCCAGCACCTACGCTTCCCCCAATGCCCTTACTCTCTCCTCTTCCAGCATCACCCTGTCTCCCTCCCACTGACACCTCCCCTCTTCTCTTTTCCTCATTGACTCTACTTGCCCCCTCTCCCCACATTTGTCTCTCCTCCACGCTGTCCCTTTGTGCCTTCCCCTTTCTTCTCCTGACCTGCTCCCCTCCCATCAGCACAAGCCCCTTCCTCTCCTCTCCTCTCCTCTCCTCTCCTCTCCTCTCCTCTCCTCT